AAAACCTTTTACCACATAAATGAGGGCTGAACTTGTTCTCTCTGAAGATGAGGGACACATCCTCTCTCCAGCACAAATTGCAGGCATCCTTAGGTGTCAGAGGTTATAACTCATGACATGCAAGAGTCCCATAGGGAATCCCAACTCAACTGTAATTAATTATTTGACTCAACCAGTGAGTGCCCATAAACGTTGGTTACCTAGCACTCCAACTCTTCAAAGCTGTCTTACAAAGCCAGGGAGAGAAACTGAGGCACATAAGAGGGTTTGAGATGGCTGCGGGGATAAAAGTCCCAATGGCTTTGCAAAGGAATTTAATTTACTGTAATTGTTAAGAGAACATGATCCTCGCTTTACTAACTTATTCTAATTAACCTACCTACCTGTTTCGGGGAGCAAAACCACAAAATTACTAAATAGAGTATGCTGGGAAACTGATGCAGGAGGTCTGTTTTGTTGTAGGGAGCCATGTCACCTATTGTAGAGAAGGGTCACAGAAAACTGAAATGGGACCAAAGAGGGCCCCAGAGTGGAAGGTGGCAACTTTTTCTGTATACTGAGTGTCTCCAGTGGGTCCCCCACCTTTTCTGAGAATTTCAGAAATCAATGAAAAGACAACGAGGAGTCAGCTCCTTGTCCCTGATGTCAGGCACTGCCTTGCTAGGTTTCCTTATGCATGTTGAAGAATGGGAAAGATAAGAGATGCACTGGCAAGCTCATATGTTCAAGACTAGGGTGTGTCCAAACCACAGCAGCAAGGGGTCTGAGAAGAAAAAGATCACATCGTGAGTTTAGGGACTCAGTCACTCGCACAGGACTGGGGACAGGTTGGCTGAGTCTGGAAACCTGGGCACGAAGCAGGGGACACTGTCCTTCGAGCCCACTATTGGCAGGGGATGTATAATGGGTATGCCTGTTTCTCCCATACTCTTCTCCACTTTCTGCCAGGTGAGAAACCAACCCTCCATTCCTCAGGACTCCCCTAGAATACATCCTCAAGCACTGGTCAAAAATGTGACTCCCAACCCTTAAAGAAAAGGAGATTAGTCTTATTTTGCAATACAGCATGGCCCCGATACAAACTGGAGAACCAGGAGGCCTGGCCAGAGAATGGAAACCTTAATAAAACACCATTCTCCAGATAGATCTTTTCTGCCATCATCAGGGAAAATGGGCTGAAGTCCCCTACATCCAAATCTTTATGGCCTTAAGGAACAATCCAGCCCTTTGTAAGATTTGCGGCTAGACCACTTTTGCTAGTCCCAGGGAAATAGACAGAGGTCCCATATACCCAAGTCTCTCTTGTTCTAAGGGATGACCCTAAGCAATGTACTACCTGTAAACTACATCTCTGTAATTGCTACAGAACCTGGAAGAAAAGTATATCCAGATGGGGAAAAAAATAAAAAAGTATTCAAAAAAAATAGGTGAATAAAATTGTCAGTTCTTTGCCTGGGTGGCAACCCAGTTCTTGAGATATTAGAAAACCCACTCTGGTTTTACAAATGAAATCTTCACAGGGCCCAAGGAGTGGCTCCAGTAACAATTCAAAGGCCACCAAATCTTATCAGCACCATTTTTTTTTTTTAATGCAAGTTTCTAAGAGGTAATTCTTATTTAAAGAAAAAAAAACTTATTTGAGCAACAAATTAACTTTTTTAACTGGTAAACACTGATTGCTGGACAAGCCTTAAGTTCATCTACTTTTGGCCTTTTATTACTAAAAAAGATAGAAAATAGCTTTAGAACTGTCAATAAGTGTCTTATACTTTGTTAGACACATCTCTTAAAGATATGAGTGTTTGCCAATAAAAGAGCATCTATTTCTAGAAGCCATAAAATATATTTGCTAATCTAAACCATGCTAATTGCTTACTTTCAGTTGTCACTAAAAAAAAAAACTTTTCTAAAAGTTAAGAATTCAAATTAAATTGAAAAGAAACTATATGGTTTAAAAATAGAAGTTATAAAATATGGCAATGGGTTTTGAAGGACAAGTATTGAAAATGAGTTGTTCTAGACTGTCAAACCGCAGAGGGAAGGTGGGATGGGGGGGTACAGGGGGTGGGAGCCGGTAAGAAATCAAACAAAGGACTTGTACGCATACATATGAACATAACACGGTCACTAGGCAGATGAGGGCATGTGCTGGGGATGGGGTTAGCTGGAGAGAGGTCAATGGGGGAAAGAGGAGATATATGTAATACTTTAAACAATAATTTAAAAAAAAAAAAGAAAAAGTTGTTCTAAAGCTGGTTATTTCTAAATGGGTAAAAAGATTTGTGATCACACCTCCTTCTTTAAAGTTGTCAAAAGTAAATGAAAAATATTTTGTTGCTTTTCTACAGAAATTAATAATTTGGATGATTTTGAGTATGTGTATGGTCTTTATGTGATATGTGCTCATCTATATTATATGTGGTGTATTTTCTGTCTCCAGATGGCATAACTAGAGTATAATATTTATTGGTCTAAACAAATGAAATATTTATATAGATTAATTAGGATCCTGTGTTCTGGAAAAAATGTTTAATGTTAAAACCAGTTTAAGTTGTATTACCATCTTTTAAAATCATTATTATAAAATATGTATTTGTTTTTCCTGAGTTTATTTTTAAAATGTAGGCATTTTTAAAATGAGGCATCCAGGAGTAGTATTCCATGTGTTTGCGGTCCATACATTGGAAACCTATGAATTGTTTTCAGTGCTCAGTGCACACATGCAGTATTTTTAAATCTTACATATTATTTGTTCTTTATATATTGAAATGTGTATAAAACCTAAAAATGTGTGTTTTGAGTCATTTCACAGTAATTATTATTTACCAAGAAATTGCTATCTTGATGAGTTATATCTTACAAAGAAAAAACAAAGTTCTTTATCAGTTGCATAATATTCAGGTCTATAACCATATCCTTTTAAGTTTTGTTATTTATAGACAGTTGTTGTTTTGCTCTGATGTATTTGCAAATATGTTAGTTATAACCTTGGAAAGGTTCATGAAAGGGACTCTGATTTACTCTAAATTCCAGGTTTCTAAACATGTAATATCTTTAAACTAGATGAAGATTTATAGAACGCTAAGAAATAACTGGATTCATAAAAACACTGGCAAATAATCAGGATAAACAAAAATTGGTTATGTGGGACTGAATGAACTGAGAATAATTATAACTCTATTATTTTGTTCGAAATACTGCTGATTTTAAAATCTCTTGTTTTCCATATATAACAAAACTTGTTTTTACATATATATTTTTATTAATATATAAACACATTGTTTGGTTGCCTCCTGCATGCACCCTGACTAGGGCCTGGCTGGGGAGGAGCCTGTGACCAAGGTATGTGCCCTTGACCAGAATGAAACCTGGGACCCTTTGGTGTGCAGGTTGATGCTCTATCTATCGAGCCAAACTGGCTAGGGCTGAAGATTGATTTTAAAGCCAAAAAGTTAACTAGTCCTCAGTAGTATTTCAGTTCCAGACCCAGAAAAGTGACAAGATCAGAAAAGTGTCTCTGTGGCTGCCTCAGGACCAACTGCAATGACTAATGCCCCCTGCTCTGGCACCAGCCAATCAATCAGTGGAGACCACAACCCTGAAAAATCACACTTAGGAAGCTGATAAAAATTTTATTGAGCTCCTTCCCTGAGAGTGGCTCTAAGATTCCACCAGCAAGAGAGAGATGAGTATGCTCAGGATGAAGGACCCAGCACACTCTCCCCCAGGGGAACATGCCTGCACCATTCCCTTCCCCACTTCTTTCCTCTAAGGGACCCCACAAGATTTGTAACTAGGGGAGCAATGGGCAGCGGTAGCTCAGACCGGGCTAACCCTTTAAACCTGTCTCCCAGGCTCTCTTTGCTCTGCCTTCTCAGTGAGCCAAAGCAGTCCAGCCTAGGCTCTCCAGTTACTTCGTCTATGTACCTTCCATGCTTGATTTTTGCTAAGTATATTTTTGCTATGGCCAGTAAAATCTTACGTTGCTGCACTTTGTCTCTTGATTGAAATCTTTCCTTCAAGAAGACAAGAACCGAGATCTTTTCATCTCACTGGTAACAATAGGAGAAAATTAAGTTTCCTGGTTAAATGTGGGAAATATTGAATTAAATATAGGCATATCATCGTCATTACAAAATTCCATTTCAGAAACTTCAATATGCTAATAGGCATTCTGAAGAGAAGGTGTATGGCCTTTTCAAACTTATTTGGCCCAGACTGTTCTACCAGCTCATCTCCAAATGCAAGAGTCTGCAAAACAGGCTCCACCTGGACAGGTCCACACATCACAGGTACTCACTACAGTCTAGCAAAATTACAACACTCCACTCTCAAGTGCATTGAAACTGTCTGTAATATTCTTTGCTTTAGACTTGTTCATGAGGATAAATATGCAAATATAAGGTGTCCCAAAAAATGTATATATACACATTTTGAATAACTATAAAGGCGGTGTTTATTAAAATGCATTTCATTTTCAAAATTGAGCCACTAGCTGTTAAAGTGTGTATACATTTTGGGGGGACATCTTGTAAAATCAGAAACACAAATTTATTTCTTCTCACTAGATCTCAGCCAGGTACCCTGAATCGTGAAATCAGCCACTTGCTGACCTACAACAACGCAATCACTTAAAATAGGATTTTTAAGTGATAGAAGAGGAGAAAGGAAAACAAGCAGCTTCCTACTGGCCCTACGCCTTCCATTTAGCACATCTAAAGGACCATTTTTCCTCATTTCAAAACTGATAGCCAACTTATTTTTGTTGTCTTGCTATTTAAATGCATGTCTTCTTTTGCCAGAGCTTATTTACTCTAACACTGAATTTTAAGCATCTCTAAAAACACTTGCTATGTTCTTATTCTTTCCAGATAGCCTCTGCGAGGCACACAAAGAACGTTGAGGAAGAAAGGAGGAATGACGCTGAATACAGTGCAGTGAACCACAGCAGCTTCAAGGAGAGGCGTCCCGCTGCCCAGAGGCTGGACCGTGTCGTCAGAATGAGAACTTACCGGTACTTCTTGCTACTCTTGTGGGTTGGTCAGCCCTACCCAACTTTCTCAACTCCGTTATCTAAGAGGACTAGTGGTTTCCCAGCAAAGAAAAGGGCCCCGGAGCTCTCTGGAAACAGCAGGCATGAGCTGAACCGCTCGAAAAGGAGCTGGATGTGGAATCAGTTCTTTCTCCTGGAGGAATACACGGGATCCGGGAATCAGTATGTGGGCAAGGTAGGATTCCATTAGGTGCTCTGACATTGTGGTTTTAAAAGCCTGAAGAAGTGTCTGCTAGTGGACAGACAGGGAGGGTGTGCACTAGTCCCCAACACAGTAAGAACTGTTGCTTATCTGGTAAGAGTTTTTTTTTTTTTTTTTTCTCCTCCCACTTGAGTCATTTCAGGTAGAGGACTGTAGAAGATTAGCTGAGAAATGCTAGCGCTCTTACAAAAGAGAGAAAAATGCCCCGGTGGGAAACCAAACGCCCACAACCATCCGCACAGGATTACCATAAATCCTTTAATTTTTACTTTAGCTGGAAAAATATGGCCCGGCTTATTCTATGAAGCAGGATGTATTAAAAATAGGAACAGAGCGATTAAGCCGTAAGGAAAGGCAGGTCCCTTTTTTCTCAGTCTGAAAGCGAACATTCTGAGCTTTTGTTCTTTGGCCAGGTTCAAGTTAACTATTTCTTAACTCCGGTACCAACAGTGCCAGCCATTCTCGGACCTAACGGAGCCCTTTGCCCTCAAAATCCACCACCGCCTGAGGTTGGCTGTTGGGACTGCTGCGGCCGCTTTGTCTTGTGTCAGCGAATGGGCGAGAGCCAGGCATTTCCAAGACTTGTGAGTTAGCCGGGGCGAGGTTCGCAGGAGAGACAAATGGTTATGGAGAGGTGCTATTTCCAAATATCATCTGGCCATTTTATGGCCTCCAGAAAGTGGGAGGAGGAGGCATCACTTCTGCTCGCCCTGAGCCGGGGCTGGCGCTGAGTCAGGGAAACAGCTTGGTTCCGCTGTCAGCCTGAGTTTGCCTGACATTTTATCATCGGCTCCGTGCGTGTTGCAGAATATCTGCATACTGTAAAGATGTGAGAAATAAAAAGCCGGGGAGAGGGGTTTGAACTTTGTGAGTGCTGTGTTTCATCATATGGTGTTGGTAAGAAAAATCATTGTCACACGTCCTGTATGTAAACAAACTAGGGATGAACGTGCAACTAGAGATGATAAACGTCTTCGTTTATGATTGCGGCTCGGTTTCAGACATCAATAGTGGCATCTGCAAATTGCATAAATTCTGCAGATTCCAAGGGCTGCGTGGTCACACTTCAATCTGTTGTCAAATAGTTCTTCAGGGCTGGCAGAGAAGTCTCTTTAAGTATTTACCACTATCAGTGAGGGAGAGCCAGCCATGGCTTGGGCTGAGGTAACCAGGCTGTGTTCCAATGAGGTGAATTATTAATATGGAATAAAGTTGGAGAGGAAGTATTCGGTGAAGGGGTGAACATCAACACAGACCCCCAAGGGCCTAGCCTTGTATTTGCTGTGAAATTCACAGGCTGTGCGACTGCTGAAGACAGTCCGCGTTCCTGTCCTTCTCTCTGTTTCCTTTGTGGAATTTGAATAGTGCTGCATTAATAGGGTAATGGTTGTAGAAACACTAATAATCCTATCATCTTGAAAGCACTTTCTAGAATACAAATAACTACTGTCGTAGACATTTTCTCAAGTGCTTTGTCTAATTGATCCTCCTCTTTCTCTTTTCTGCTTTTTCTTCTCAAACGGTGATGCCCTGGGACAACAAAAATACCACGCGTTTTTAAAGAAAGGCAGGCTATTTCAGGACACGAGGAGCAGCAATGAATAGAGCCGCCTAGGAATCCGCTCTAGGATTATAACTGTGGGAAGTAGTATTGCCGCAGGGAAAAGTCTTGAGCTGTGGCCCAGAGCCAGTGATTAGCCTTCCAGGCTTCAGCTTCTCATCTAGAAAATGCAGGCAACAATGCCAGCCTCCTGGAGTTGCCGTGTAGTTAAGTGAGATGAGATGAGAACTAATGGCTGGCACATAGTAGGGGCATACAGAAGTTGTTATTATTGCTGAAAAATCCACTCTATGCACTCTATTACATTTATTGATAATGCCTTGACGTGGAATATTGATTTTTATATCTTTGCAAAAGTAAAATGAGGTAACTGATGGATCTCTCAGTGGGTGGGAATTGTAAAGGAGAGAGGCACAGCTTCAATCTGATTGGTTGGATTGGAATATTTTATTAGCAGCAAGATCACTTTCACTCCCTCACCTTCGCCTGCCCCTCCTCTACCTCCCTGAAGCTATGACACAGAAGAGAATGCTAGCTGGAGAAGAAAGTCAAGGGCAGAGATTGAAGTTGTCCAGTAGTGGCCACCTTGCTGCATCTGAGGTATGAGAGAGGTACTCGTGCACTATTCAGAGGGCATTTTCCCGAGTCTGCCTTTGGAGTTATGTATCATCAATGGACAAAAGGAAGACTATAATGTGCTTTGTACCACAATAAAAAAATAGACAAAAATAAATAAATAAAATTTTAAAAAGAAACCTGTTTGAGTTCCTCATGTAGCAACAAGTTGGTCCACTTTTAATAGATATGGAATAAAACAGAAACTGATGAGATTATCCAGATCTATAGGGTCAAGAAGGTTTTGAAAACAAATTTTCTTTTCAAGATCAGGCAATAGCAGGGGTTCCACATTTTCTCAATTCATAATGTCCTTAATGTCTCAATCATTTTTTTTTCACAGTGTCCTCAGGTCACTAAAGAAATAATTAGGTCCAAACAATTTGCTAAATATTTATGGTCTAAACACAAATCACTGTTTGACAAAAATACGCATCAGTTAACAGATTACTAATGGAAGGTGTGCACCTTCTGGGCACTGCACAACTTCTCAGACTGGACATCACCCCTCATTCCCTTTTCCAGATTGATTTTTGCTTAAATCTTCCCTTCTGCCATAGTGCTGGGGTCAAGCCAGCTTCATAAATATGTAACATCATCAAAAGGAATGTAGCACCACCTATTGTTGAAACTGTGAACTACTCTGAGCTAGTACTTCACAAGATGTCTGACAGAGCTCAGGGTTTGTTGCATTATTTCCCTGGAAATTTTAAAATATTTTGTAGTGCCCCAGTAAGTTCATTGCTACACCCCAGCATACCTCAGTGAACACTCTGGGAACCATTAGACAATAATTAGATTCCCGTGTAAAGGTGTACAAAGACTAACTGATCCTTAGCCCTAGTAATAGTTACTTAGAGCCTCTTCTTGAAGCCTAAAACTGAAAAGATTAATCAGTACAGGTAACAGATAGAAGCATTAACTGAGGAAAAGTAATGCAGTTTAGCAAATAACACTTAAAGTAGAAGAAAAATGTTTTTATATTATAAGCATTTGTTTATATTTGTATTTGTGTTCATTGGTTTCAGTTATCCTGGGTTTAAGGCAATAGAGATGATAGTGACAATTGTGGAGCAAGGAAAATTTGAGAATTGGTGTGGGAACAAAGGGCTGTCAAGAATCCAAAGAGAAAAAAGTTAGGGTCACATAAGCATCCAAGAAGCAAGAGAAGACAGAGTTAGGGATTGGATGACAAAAAAGTGAATAGACAAGTTCATACTTAAAGCTTAAAGCACACGTGAGAGCAGTTAGACCCTCCTCCTTTTCTTGTTTTAATACTCCTCAGCATTTCACTCATGGCCATAAGATGAACAGAGAAACATGGACTCTGCCGGTTAGCTAGGGAGGCACTTATGCGAACAGCTGAGATATTGACACCCAAACTCTGACGTATGGAATAATTTCAACACCTGACTCACCTAGAATGGTGGTGGCAGGTAGGGGTAACAAGGTAGGAAGAAGTGGCCCTGTGTTGAGTAAGAGTTTGTGAGCTTAAGATATATAGATACAGATGCAGATAAGGAATGTGATTTTTTTGAGCTGATTTACCATAAGTAGCATCTGCGTCACTGAGGCGCTCATTGGAGATGCAGAATCTTGGGTCCCGCCTGAGAAGCTGCATTTCAACAAGGTGCACTGTGTGCACACTCAGATTTGACAGGTGCTGCTTTTACCTTGCCTGGGTCTCCCCTCCCCAGAGATCCTGATTGAGTTGGTTTTTAATTATTTATGATTCCAATGTGTGACAAAATTTGAGACTCATTGCCCTGGGAGAATATTATTGGCAATAATTATAACACAACATGGCAAGTTCAGCTGTAAACGTATGATGGAAATATCAGGGAGAGGGCCAGCTGGGAGCGGGTGCAGCAGAGCTTCCTGACGGAGGTGATGATGGTGAAGAACCGCTTCAAGGTGTCAGCTCACACAGCGGAGGGAGAATTACCAGGACTTTCCAATTAATTGGATGCCAAAGGAGAGAAAGTCAAAGGTTCAGAGATCTCTATTCAGAATCAGACAGTGGAAGTGTCACTTAGCCAGCACAGGAAACAGAAAAAGGTGCATATTTTCTCACCCAGGTTTTCAGGGAAGAGTATGCAATTTTATACAAAATCTACTTAGGTTATCTTTGGCTTATAGAAAAATAAGAAGCGTTGTAATTTCACACTTTCAAAAAAACACCAGGCCTTCCTGCCAGCTTTATGTAATGTAGCAATTCCTTGGTGTTGGTCAGTCTATAGTGTGAGATTAAGCTTAATAAGAAAGAACAGAGGCAGCCGAAACTGGTTTGGCTCAGTGGATAGAGCATCAGCCTGTGGACTAAAAGGTCCCAGGTTCAATTCCGGTCAAGGGCATGTACCTTGGATGCGGGCACATCCCCAGTAGGGGGTGTGCAAGAGGCAGCTGATCGATGACTCTCTCTCATCGATATTTCTAGCTCTCTATCTCTCTCTCTTCCTCTCAGAAAAAAAAGAAAGAAAGAAAGAAAGAAAGAAAGAAAGAAAGAAAGAAAGAAAGAAAGAAAGAAAGAAAGAAAGAACAGAGGCAGATATGGATTAGATGTTCAAGGCACAAGCATTAAGACATAGATATATTTGAAACCTCAGAACTGTGCACAATATGAGGCAAAAGATTCTAATATCATCATTAAACAGACCCCAGCGAAGCTTAATTTCCTTGTCTCCTCCACTTGATCCTTCACAATGTTCTTTGTCCTTTTCTTCCACACAATGTGTACCTAAAACTAATCTCCATTAGAAGCATTCGAGATGCTTCTATTTTTGGTAACGTACCAGGA